ACAGTAGGTGCTCAACAGATTGAAGCAAATAAATTCTGCTGTATGGTGGTGGCGCCTACATTTCTTTTCTTCTTCTTTTTTTTTTTTGAGTTGGAGTCTCACTCTGTCGCCCAGACCAGAGTGCAATGGCCGCTCCCGGCCACTGCAGCCCCGACCTGCTGGGCTCTGGCAATCCTTCCGCCTCAGCTTTCCAAGCAGCCGGAATTACAGGCATGCGCTACCATGCCCAGCTAAATTTTTTTTATTTATTGTAGAGATGAGGTCTCGCTGCCCAGGCGGGTCTCGAGCCCGCGGGCTCAGGCAATCCACTCACCTCAGCCTCCCAAAGGCGCGGGATTACAGGCTGAGCCACCGAGCCCAGCTGGCACCTACATTTCTACATAGATGGCGTGTGCTGTGATGGCAATGAACTTGGAGGGGTGGATGAGACTTAAGGGGCCTGACATAGCAAACACGATGTTTTCTGAGTGTACAGTTATCATAAATGTACATGTTGGCCAGGATCTGTGGGTAGCTCAAGTGCTCTCCAGCACCTCCTTGGGGCCCCAGTTATCTTGGATTGGTAACTCATCCCTGTCCCCAAAGCCCCCCGGTCAGGGCCTTCTGTTCATAGCAGCAGAACAAATGACTTAGAGCACAAAGCAATGGATGAATGGATAATAAAACCTCTCCTGAGGTATGTCTGTATGTTTTGATCAACTGATTTCAGGAGGCACAATCGGTGTCAGGTTAAAACCAAGAACAGAATTTGGGGGTTACAGAGGGAGGCGGGATGAGTGAAGAGGTGGGAGACAGAGCTGGGAAGCTCCTGTGCAGCACGAGGAACGAGAAAACACACCCGGAAGGATCCGGCCACCTTGATGGATGCTTTTCCACAGGAAGGAGGTTCAAGTATGCGGCAGAGGAACTTGTGAACTTCCTGTTTTTAGAACTTTCTTGTGATGAAGTTGGAACTGCACACTATCCCTTTCATAAGAGGGGTTTGCACCTATCTGGAACAATTAGGCATATGTGGTCTGGTCCACGTGCATAAGAACCACGGAAACATGGAGGCGAGAAACCATAGCATCGGCAGGCTAAGGTGGCCTGGAGTTCTGAGTTCTTGTGATGCTGGGTGGGGGCTGTGGGTGAACTTCACCCCCCCATACCCCATGTCTTAGCAGCCAAGAAGGAAGGTCAAACCCTGTGATCTCTGAAGGCCTTTCCACCCATGACAGTATATGACTTATGTCCTAGTCACAGAAAAAGCTTCAGTATAAAAGCAAAGGAATTTTCCACAGTGAAAAGGCATTAGTTAGTAAGTACATGAACTAAAGTGGTTTAAAATACTTACATGTATGTTATTAGCATGTACTAGTAGATCGTTACTAGTATATTTTTATTTGAGCATAGTTGTTTCCCAATAATTAATATTTTTAAAAGCTTTAAAAATCTTAAGTATGGTAAATGGGTTATTATTTATAAATAGATGTCTGTTTGTTAAGAAGGTAAAAAAGCAGAATGCTTCTAATCCTGCTCTAAATCATAACACTCTAAATTATGCTGGAAGTTTCTTATGTACTTAAGTAGACTGTGCTGTAGAAATAGGCATGTTCCTTCCTGTTAGGTATAACAAAGGATCCAATTATGGTTTTCATTATAGAAAATTAACTTGTCTGCAACTTGGTTTCCTCATCTGTAAAACTTGGAGGCATGGAGGATTTGAATCTGTTCATGTCTGAGATGTGAAAAGTGATGTCCTGGGATTCCACATGCTCATTTTGCTTGTCCATCCAGGGCTGACGGGCACAACAGCCAAGTCTGCTGACAGTCCTGTGAGGCAGCCCTTCCTGCCCCAGACGAGGCCTTCCCAGCAACAGGGAAGGAGACCCAGCACAGACAGACTCCGTTTCCTAGCATAGCTGACTGCCAGCTAGCATTTCCCTAAGGTATTTGAAGGTATGGAGAGCCATATATAGCCACAACACGTCCAATGAAGATGGTATGGGTGATCTCTTCCAGGGTAATTTAAGTTCAAATGGATTGGCTTCGCAGAAGATGCCAGCATCTTCAAATTAACGATGTGAGGTAGTAACTTGCCTTCCCCGTTCCACTGAGGAGCCAACAGAAGCCCACAGAACATAGGTGATTTGCTCAATTGAGGAACTCTTAAGTCCCTTCAAAGTTCTCCATACGGACTCTCTCTTGCTATCACAAGTAAAGGGTCCTTGCCCAGCTGACCCCAGCACCTGTCTGCGTGCCAAGTGACATGCTGGGAACCTTGGGCCCACATACTCCTGTGAGCCTCTTTTACTCCCTAAGGGCAGATATCACAACAGCTCCGCTTCACAACAGGGTTTCTGCAAATACAGAACTTGTCTGTCTGCCAGGGTGGGTCACGGAAAAACTTCTGTCTGAGCTTCAAATTCCTTCTCTAGTCCAAAGTTGATGTGAGACCTCAACTCTCAAGGATCACTTTTTTTTTTTAGTTGGAGTTTCACTCCGTCGCCCAGACTGGAGTGCAGTGGCTGCTTCCAGCCGCCACGGCCTCGACCTGCTGGGCTCCGGCAATCCTTCCGCCTCAGCCTTCCAAGTAGCTGGAACTACAGGCGCGTGCTACCATGCC